TCAGATTCGATTTCAACGGATCCTTTAATCTCATGGAAAATAATCCTGTTGAGCGATTTTTCGTTCAAAAGTCAATTTGGCCGAGTGACAACGGCGGCCGAAATGAAAACTGACAAACTGCGGGGTAGCCGGTGGTTAATAGCAACGCGACACCGTGTCAGTCTGAGGGGGGATTGCGCGGGAGGGGTTGCCGGCGACCTGGCCTGACGCACGGCGACAACCAGGAAAACGTATTTTCGATGAGAACGTTCAACGCACTGTTATAACCGACGAACGTGTCTGCGTGTGTTTCAGAGGACGAGCACGAACCTATGGGGCGAGTGGATGGGGGTGATGCATGGGGACGAGGTCGAGTACGTGTTCGGGCATCCGTTGAACACGTCCTTAAAGTACAGCGACAAGGAACGGGACCTGTCCCTCAGGATGATACTCTACTTCGCCAAGTTCGCCTATTCTGGGTAAATCTCCTTCATTTACTACGAAACAATTAATTTAATTAACCGAACAATAATTTATGCATGTCTCATTTAAATAATAAATAATCATACAATTTTTTCTGACTATGATTGATTTAGAAATTAGTTATTTAATTATTCTTTTTAGAATCGAGTGGAACGTAGAGATGAGGGAAAGCAATTTTTATGTCTGATCGATATAAGAAGGTTAGGCTTATACTTGGTAAAATTGTGTACCCGGTCAACATGGAATACAAACAGGATGACGAGGGCGGGATCGATAATTTCATTTCGTTAAGAGGCAAAACTGACTCGGAACTGGCCTACGAACAGTTATTTTATAGGAAAATTTTGGAACGGTGCTTCGAAATTGGAACTGGGTCAAAGTAGATATCGCGGTAACTTGGTGAATTTTTTACCAACCCCCAAAAGAGTAGTTCCAAGTCCACCAAAATTGGAATGCCGTCCCCCTAGTAGGACTTGTGATTTGTAGTCCCTCGCCAAATTATTCACAAAAGTCTCACTGCTTCCTTTATTATAATTCGTATTTTTTCAAGAAAAATTGTATCGCCAGTGAATACAAAGAATGCTTGCCATAATATGTAGAATATTAAAAGATGAATGGCTATTACAATATTTGCATAAAAAATTAAAAGGAATGTTTAATTAGAATTTTTCAGAATTTTTTTAAATCTGTTTTTATGAATATTTTATTTAATATAAAAATTCATAGTCTAACGTCTGG